TGTATTTGCATCAAGACCGGAAGCTTGTTACCTAGCTTTGTTATTAGTCGGTTTTTTAAAGAGAATTTTGCGTAGATTTTTTTTAGTCTGAAGTGTCGATCGAAATAAGTAAACCCGTTTGTTTCCAATAGCAACAATGGCCAATAGCAACGGTTCACGCAAAATGAACGCCCCCGTAAAGCTTTACGCTGGTCGACGTGACTAATATAAGATTTTTTTTAAAAATTCTGATTACATTGTCAGCCACAAAAACTTAGACTTAACCCTATCCGTACGTCGTGTTTTACTATCGTATCCAAACGACGTGGCGAACTCTGTACCACCACTTAACCCTATCCGTACGTCGTGTTTTACTATCGTATCCAAACGACGTGGGGAACTCTGTGCCACCACTTCCCAAAGAGGAAATTTACTCGTTAATCCGATCCGTACGCTTTGCATAACGGTCTGTCAAAATGATTTTTTGAGCAATACTGAAAGTTTCAAAGAGATCTTCGTACTAGAAGTATTCTTAAATGTGAAGAATACAACCCCGGGGGTACAAAATGACCCCAAGGCTTACGGATAGGGTTAAATTAGAGTAATATCCAACTGGTGGAAATAGCAGGGACGATATTGACAACGGGGATGAAACTGACCAGACTTTGAGTGGGCGTCCCACTCTATCAGGGGCAGTTTAGATGAATCATCCATTAGTCATAACCTGCCCACAAAGCCTAGATCTTATAGTGCTTACAATGTATCTCTCTCTCTCTCTCTCTCTCTCTCTCTCTCTCTCTCTCTCTCTCTCTCCCCCTCTCTCTCTCTCTCTCTCTCTCTCTTGGCCACCCCCTCTCTCTCCGCCTCTCCCCCACCTCTCTCTCTATCTCTGGCTGTCTCTCTCCTTCTGTCTTTCTATCTATCTATCTCTCTGTCTATTTATCTATCTATTGCTCCTGCTCCCGTATTTTATTTATATATCTCAATCTCTGTCTTCTGTTCTCTTCACACACACTCACTCTCTTGCTCGTTTCTCTGTCTGTCTGTCTGTCTGTCTGTCTGTCTGTCTGTTCGAACTCTGTGTGTGTGTGTGTGTGTGTGTGTGTGTGTGTGTGTGTGTGTGGGTGGGTGTGCGTGTGTGTCTCCAGTTCCTCATCTCTGCCGAGGGGTGAAAGGCTAACTTGCTTGAAAGGGTATTCAAAGTGAGATAAAAAAAAAACCAAGTAGAAATGATGCCAGATACGAAAGACTTTCCCACAAAGGGAACTTCACAAAATTTCTTATTCCAGGCAGCATCACCCAGTTGTGAATTAAAACAAATCCTGAATATTCTACCCATATTATATATTCACCCTCAAAATTAAGCGATAAAAATATTACATTTAATGACTCTATTTCCACTTTGGTTAAAATGTAATCATAACTTCTTAACGCCAGGAGGGAATAATAATTGTCTCAAGGTTTTTCAACAACAAATTTAACCTCAGAATGAGAATACACAAATAGAAGGCAAAGAAAGCAGAGAAATGAAAATATAACAAATTACTTTATAGCAATTTGGTTTCTAATTTGGCTGTATTTGTCTACCTGTTCGTGAGCTGATAAGGGCAGTAAAAAGTCAATGGCGAAAAAAACAAAACAAGAACAAAAAACAAGCCTCAAAAGCAGCCATGAGATAATTAGGAGTCAGCTCCCCTCGTCTTTTTTCGCTAGACTCGACGAATTGTTAGCTTACATAATGTTAACCTGTGGTGCCTGCGACTGTTAACTAATACGGGGTGCCATTGGGGGGTCGGGTCATTTCGGGGCGGTTTCCTAGTATAGTGCTGGGCAGCTAGGTTCCCGATTATTGAGCGCTAGGAATCGTAAGGAATCGACTCCGAACCCAATTACTTATTTTCTAATGATGTTATTTCTTCCGGTGGTTACCTGGTTGGCTCCGAGCATCCTCAGGATTTAGGATAACCTTGATTTCAGAACACTACGAAGCATCAACTTTTATTTCTCAAAAATACATAAAAAAAAAAAAAAAGATTTTAATGATTAAGCTGACTGGTAACCGTTGGTTTACGTTAAAAAGGGTCGGAACTTTTCTTCCGTAGCATTAACCGTGGGAATCGGTTCCGGAATCAATTCTTCCCCCTGCTCTATTTCTTAGCCAAATTGAGAGCGCAAAGCGGCTATCGTGACACAAGCCAATCGCGCCTGACTCGTTGCCTTATAAACAATCTTAAACGCGTGTATTTTCAGGCGACGAGTCGGGTGATCGGCCAGACACGACCCTACCCTACCCGATCCCATGCACAATGAACACCCCGTATAATGAAAGTGATCGGAAAGGGGTCGACAGGGTATAATTTATTAAGTTGAAATGAAACAGTTTTGAGTGTTGTGTACAAGGCTATGGCATGTATTTGACGGTGACGATGTTCCCAAATCACGGAAGGGAAGCAGTGATGTGATTATCTCTTCTATTATCTATTTGTGGTGGCCGAATTTTGCTTTTCAAAAGACTTTTTAA